CTCCCCCTCTCCCCCCTCCTCCGTCCCACAGGGCCCCGCGCCTCCCGCCGACCCCGCCAAGGTGAAGGCCGCCGCCTCGGAAAAGAAGAAGCAGGAGTCCCGCAAGGATAAGAAATAGGATACGGGGAGGGGCTGGGGCGGGCTTGCCGGACGCCTGCTCCAGCCCRTACGCCAGGTACTGGCGCCGAAGACCCAGCCCAAACAGCAGCAGCAGACCGCCGTCAGGGGGGCGGAGGGGGCGGGGGAAGGCCGGGTGCTCATGACCATTGAGCTGGAGCTGACCCGCCAAAAYGGAGAGGAGGGGCCCGGCGGTGCAGGGGGCTCGGGTGGGTCCGAGCCACCCGGCCTCCTCTCCCRCCTCGCCCGTCAGCTCAGCTTCTAATTACAGACCATCACCTGAGGGGAGGGTGGGTAAAGGTACTCATTGAAAAACAATATTTTTCTCATACTTTATTAATTAACTTTAAATAAATCCAATTATATGAACTCATCTCGCATTTCTTCACTTACACAACCACCAGCCTAACGGAGGGCAAATGTTTTGTTTACGTTGAAAGCATACCTGCGTTTCGTACCTTCGTTTCTCCTTATAAACTCCTTTTTTTTTCCAACTGCGCCCTTTGACCTAGTTCAGGAAAACAGGTTTCATGTTTGATTTCATTCTTTGCCGTGAGGACCTGTAAATCCCAGATCTGCTCGACATCCAGCGAAACCCGAGTCTGCCTCGAATTTAAAAAACAAACGCTAAATCACGTCTGCTGTCGTCACAGGACGCAGCTACTGTATGTGGGCCGAGAGATCCGACGCGATAATCTCCTCCAGCAGCTGGCAGCCCGACTGCTTTTGTTAGGTCATAAGATATGTTGTTTGAAGCGAGACCCCCGGAAGACGACTGGGTTTGATAAGAGAATGTAAAAGACCGCTCCCTGGGCTTTGCCTCTCTGCTTCCTTTTTATTGTGATCCTATCCGCAGAAAAAGCTTCCTCCGAGTGCGTCCGATACGCATCACCAGTCCCCGGCTGTGGGGACAAGCCAATTTGCTTTTTTTTTTCCACCAGAGTCGATGTCAAACTCCAGCTTTCTCTCATGCTGATCTTCACCCCTCTTCCCCCCCCACACACCTCCGTCCTTTCCCTTTTTTTCTTGTTTCCTCGTGAATTCTCTTGACTTTCTTGTTAATTCAAATTGCAGAAGTGATTTATATGCTAACGGCTCTGTCCTGTTTCCTTCCTCACTCTCTCTCCCCCCCACCCGCCCCCCGCCCCTCTTCTCTTCCTCCTATAGATAAAGGTTTGACTTCTCCACGACTGCCTCTGCACTCCTCCTCTAGTCTGCTCCCTCCTTTTTCCACCCAGCCTGATGCTACCCCCGTTATTCCCCATTATCTCCACCCTCTCGAGACAGCGGTGGCTGTAAGGATACCCCCCACCCCCACACGCTGCATCACGGGTAACAGTGTCGAATTATTTCTGCGGCGCTGTGCGCACCATCGTTGGGGCGACCTGTACAAGTGTTTAAGGCGTAACTACCTACATAACTTCCTTTAGAGGACCACACGGGCTTGTACAGGTCGCCCCAACGCACCATTGTTGGGGCGACCTGTACAAGTGTTTAAGGCCTAACTACCTACATAACTTCCTTAAGAGGACCACACGGGGACGTCCTGCATGGTCCTCAAGGAAGTTATGTAGGTAGTTAGGCCTTAAACACTTGTACAGGTCACCCCAACAATGGTGCGTTGGGGCGACCTGTACAAATGTTTAAGGCCTAACTACATAACTTCCTTAAGAGGACCACGCAGGACGTCCCCCGTGTGAATCTACCCCCCCTGTTTTTAATGTTTACGACTCAGTCACTGAGCGGAGCTGCGAACCCACACTGGACCTCAGATGGAGGGAAAACAGAGAGTGATGGCACGAAAGAGAAATATGATTCCCGCTCTCAGCCGGCGCAGAGACGAGTTCAAGCCCCGGAGCTCGGAGGTGATTCAATCCTCTCACATTTGAGCTAATGGAGGTTGTCGCCGTGTCCCCGCGCAGGCTAAAGGGGTTTCTATTTCTGGCCCCGTACGAGTGTGCGGGCTTTACTGTAACAGCTGCACATTTTTCAGCCAACGGGAGAGAGAGAGAGAGAGGGGGGGGGTCTGAGCACGGTCAACTGTTGGCTCCGTGACTGACGGCTCCTGAATGACGTCACAGCCGCCGGCAGGAAAAAAAATTTATCCGACGCTCTCAGGAGTCGGACGAAAGAGGCTTTACCAGGAAGAGGTGCAGCTCGTGAGTTATTTTAGGCCCGGCTAATCCACTTGCACGTTTCTCCAACCTCGGGGCTAATTATTTTAGCGTGTGCTCGGTAACAAGAGATCTCTCACCACATCCCTCCTCCTCCTCCTCCTCCTACTCCGTCTTCATCTCGGGAATCATCTCCTCTCTTCTGTTTCCTTCTATCTGTCCTCACACTTCCTTTATCRCTTCTTTCCTCCTCCCCCCCACCCCCCGCCGCCGTCTACTGAGTCTGCACTGCATTATCCCCCAACACAGAAAAGGCCTCGACACAATCCAATCTACTCTTTAAGCCGCTCCTTATCAGCCYGGCAGGCCTACAGCTTCTTCCTCTTCTGTCCTTCCTCCACTTCACTCCTCTCTTTTTCAAAACTCGGCGGCTGACACTTCCCCTCAGCCTCCCCGCCCCCCCTGCTTTCCGTCTTCGTCGGTGATGGACAAACGGCCTCTTGCTTTGCCCTTCAAGTACCCCTGAGGCGTGTCCCCCTCCCCCTCCTTCTCCAGCGCTTTCGTTGTCTCGGTTTTTGCTGGTTTGAAACGCCAAAAACGCTCTTCGATGCCCCCCCCATCCGTCCGGCAAGATGAAAAATCCACACCGAAGCGTAAACTTGTAATCCAGCTCTCTTCCAGTCGTAAAAGTTTTCTGTTTGTGTTTCAAATTGAATTGATTGAAGSAAGACGTCGTCCTACGTAAAGCAGATTTCTAACACGTCCACACGTGGAGAACATGTTCACCAGGGCGGGAAAGAAATGTAATTGTGTTCTATGGAATATGCCATTATGTGTCTGACCTTGTGTGTTATGGAAGGGACTGTGTGGCKGTCTCTGGGGTACATTTTATTCTGAGATGGAGGAAAATTGAGGTTGTAGTGCAGAGAATAGGAAGAGGGAGGGGGGTGGGGGTAGACGAGGGTTCGGTTTGCCTTGAATTCATCACTCTGGCCGGGGTGGAAAAATAAAATAAAAAACACGGAGGAAGGTTTGCTGTAGGAGAAAGCTTCGCAGGTGGAGACCTATCTGGATTAAGCCCCGCCCCCTCAGAAAATCTGTATGTATCASTACAGGTACACTGCAAAAAATGTCCACCTAACCAAGTTTTAAAACCTTATTTCCAGCCAAAAAATCTTTTTGATCTTGTTTTGAGACTGATTTACTAAACAAGAACTGATTGTGTAAGAATAAT